TACCAGCAAGCTTGGCATGATTGACATCTATGCTCAGCTTGAGGGGGAGTGTAGAGAAGATGGGCCGAATGGCCCATAGGTTGCTTATTCCTTCTCGTTATTTATGTTTCTTTTTCTGTAATGGGCCTTATTCTAGATCCATCCTGTCAATATTAAGTTCTGTGTAAATTCTTGCCCAACTAAGGGCCTCCTTGTAATTATTCAAATATTTCTAATAAAACAGTGTTAGGGGGCTGAGAGAGTGTGAGTTCGAAATCCTCTTCTCAGACCCTCATTGCCAAACCCTCAACTCTCTTCTCTTCAGTTTTCTTCAATAATCAAATCAAATCATTGAGAAGACAGGTCATCCTTGACCTACAGTTGTCTTAACACATGAACAGGACCACACGATCCAAGAAAAACAGGGGTATACAGATTCGACAGCATTCAGCCGCCCAGACTCATAGGGTTTTCACTCGGCACATGACCAAGGAGGGTAAAGAAGAGAAAACAGGGAGAACTGTACCAGTTGTAGAGCTGTTTTTTCAGTCCAGAATCAGATTTCTGTTCCGCCCAGGTTCAGCAAGTCCGTTCGATCTGTTCTCTTAGTAAGGTTGTTTGATCTGCTCTCTTTAATCAGTATTCCCGCTCTGATACCATCTTGACAGTATGGCCGGCCAGAAATAAGAGGAAGAGAAGAGAGGAGAGAAGAGAAAAGGGTTTTGCAATGTAACAGTGCTGGCGGCGCCAACCTTTATTTTAATATATATAGGGCGGTAGAAATAACAAGGGAAAAGACCCTTGTGCCCCTGAGTACAATAACAGACATAACAGAAAGAAAAAACGAAATAAAAAAATACTTTAACTAGCCAAACATACCCTAACATCAGCAACTAAATTATTTTAACACTGCACACACAGGCCGGTGCCTTAAAGACTGAAAAGTAATAGATTGGCAGATTAGCTAGGGTTGACCGGATTGAAGTGATTCCGCCTCCCAGCAATAAATACCCTTTTTTCTAACAGTCGAGCCTTTTAGAATCTTTTCTTTCTCAAGTTCTTCAAAACTTGAGGACGAGTTTTTTTTTTCCCTGAACCAAGGGAGAATGATGCAGGAGCTGAAGAGTCAAATTTGGAATTTTCTGAAATTTTATGTATTTCTATGTTTTTTGGATAGTAAGGGTACTTTCTTCATTTTGTCCGATCCCATGTGGGCTTGGTCCATGGCATCTTGTTCTTCTAGTTTAGTAGGGCTTATCATTCAATTTTTAGTTTATTTTCATTAGTAGGTATACAGTTATTGTGTTTATTGATATACAAGACAAGGAGTGCTATTTTTGTAATTATGGTGAACAGTATTCTGAGCCACACAAGCCACTCTATAGTCTATAAATAGATGCATTCTCTTCCTTCCGAAGCTAATGAATGGAGATTTCTTGAGAGTTCATTTCAAGTTTTCTGTGTGGAGTATTCCTACAAACCCTAGAGTAGTTCTAGGACCCTTGGAGTGCTTCCTTGGGATTTCCTTCTCTTTTCTCTTTTTCTACTCTTTCTCCTCTCTAGACTCTCTCTTTCTAGTTTGTGCCTGTTTATTCTAGCCCTAGCCTTGCTGCATGACCTAAAGAAGGAAGACTAAGAGAATTGAATTAAGGACTCACACCCTGTCGTCTACCCCATGTTCATTCAAAGATATATTTTTTAAATACTCAAGAAATTGATGAACTCTTCAATTTTAGATTCCATCAAAACCCCCTTCTTAGTCCCAAATCTCATAAGATTGGTTCTTCCACTCCATAAGAGGACACTAGTTCGAAAATGCATTTGTTACTTTTGAACATGGAAAGATTGAAAATTCTAGGAAACTTTTGATTCAGTGGACTCTCACCCCACCAAATATCTCCCCAGAACTTCACCTTTGTACTCAATATTGAGTCATATCTAACATATTGAGAGAAGGTAGGCAACAATGGCATGACGTCCTTCTGAGGACTTTTTGAGTTGGCGTTTCTAGGAGACCCAGAATCTTAACCATTAATGTGCAATCCACATGCTCTAATAACATAATCCATAGTGATAGTGTGTCAATTCTTTTGTGAGACATAGCCATCTCCCCAACGGTGCCAGAGTTTTCTCTGGGATCCATAGCCACCTCTTGTGGGATCCATAGTGCCTCAATTTGCTTGTGGGATCCATAGCCATCTCCCCAACAGTGCCAGAGTTTTCTCTTTCAATTTTCCAATCCCTAGTCCACCCTCATGCCATATCAGTTATTAAAAGAAAAAAAAGACTAGATGTCATATCTATATTTTTGGTAATAAAATAAAAGAAGACTTGATTAAGAGAGAGAGAGAGAGAGAGAGAGAGAGCATTCTTGTGTTGATGGCCTTGGATGTAAGAAACTAACAATAGCTTGCAACAGTCTTCTCCTAAATGCTTTGGTATAGCAGCCCATTACATCTTTTACAAAATCCTCTCTCTACTCCACATCTATAGAATCATCTTAAGACCAGTTCTTGACAAACTTAAATTTCAATATTTTCTTTCCTCCCGTACTCTTAATTTAATTATTGTTTTTCGCATTCCTGCTTAAGAAGAAAAAGAAAAGAAGGAAAGCAAGAATGCATTACTTATAAAAAAAGCAAGAATGCATTTAACTATGTATACTTGTTCAATCCATTTTGCATGTAAAGTAAAAAAGACTGAACCTCATGATGGTAGTGGATTCTAATTCTTGTGAATTTGATTTCCACAGCTCAAAAGGGGTCTTGTCACGTTCATGATGTTGTAAGGCAACATGTAAGGTCTACTGTACAATCCTCTGAGGTAATAGCAAACAATGCAAAGATCCTCTTTATTCTCTCAAAAAAATTACATCCGTTTCATTTTGTCATCTTCTATGATTTGCACTCAACTTAAAAAAGCAAACAAAAACTTGTTTTCAGTGTTTGCTAATAATTAATTGATTGTCAATGTTGGGACTTGGATATTTTTTCTGCCTAGGGATTCATAATGCAGCAAAAACTCAGTGCATAGTTTTCACCTTGTAGCACCACTTTGAAAATCCTTTATAAGCTGCACTATAATAATAATTTGAATGCTTAAGTTCAACTTAGATTTTCCTAATCAGACTAACATTTTTGTAGAAATGTACAACTCAGAAGGGGGAAAATTAAATGAAATAGAAAGGAAAGAACTTAATCCCAGCATCATCTGACTTCTCATAATCATCTTGGTGATTTTTAGGTGTGTTATTTGGCTATGGCAGCATGTCAAATATCAGGTGGACACAATTCCCAGTTTGGTCGATAGGCCATTTCTACAAAAACCAAGGTTGTTACTAATAATATTGTTATTAAAGGGTAGGCTTGTGGAGTCTTTTATCAATTTGCAGGATTATGGCAATGATGACACCATATAAGGAAGGCGCAATGTTTTTGTAATCCAAATGATGAGCCTCCACATTGTACCATCTTGTTAAATCAATAATAAATCCTGTGTAAACTGCACTTTGATGATTGGAAGTCGTATATATATGGAAAAATTCAATCAATTTTGAGTATTGAGAGGTATCATTTCTGGTTGTGTGGAATTAAACTGCTGCTGAATCTCTCTCTGCCTCTCATCCATGTACAACTTAAAGGTGGTATGTATCACATTGTGTCGTGTGTATTGTACCGATATTGAAGGTCTACGAAACATGAAAATATTAAGAGTTGGGGAGATAATGACAATTTGAACTGCTATCTTGTTAGTACTCGTGAATTTCAAACTGAAAATTATAATTTAAAAAAGGGAAAATTCCCGATTAGTACCCTGTACTTTGGGCCTACTGCTACTTTAAAATGCGACAATTCAGTACCCAAATTTTTAAAACATGCCAATCCAGTGCCTTCCTTTAACCAGCCATTAAGTGGCATTTGAAAAAAACACAAATGCCCTTTGAGTGTAATCTAATTCTCTTAATCAACCATCAAAACATTGACAAAAAATGAATAGTCCCAAATTTTTGCCTCTTCTATTCAAGGGGTCACCAGAATGCCCACTGAGATGTGACCCTAAATTTCTTGAATAGAAGAGACAAAGATTTGAGACTGTTCATTTTTTGTCAAGGTTTGGATGGTTGATAAAGAGAATTAGATAACATTGGAAGGGCATTTCTATCTTTTTAAATGTCATTTAATGGCTAGCTAGCAGGGAGTTCAGATCTGCGCCCCACAAGGGGGTGCCCCACAACGTCCCATAGCACATTCTCGCTGTGTATTTGGAACATCTCCTGATGATAGACCACAATCGATGATATCATCACCGGGAGATGATCCTAATGCACGACAGGGATGTTCTGTGGGACGTTGTGGGGCGCCCCCTTGTGGGGTGCAGACGTGAACTCGTTAACAGGCTGGGTTAATGGTATACTGGATTGGTATGTTTTGAAAGTTCGGATACTGAATTATCATGTTTTAAAGTTAGGGGACCAAAGTAACACTAGGCTCAGGCCCCAGAGTATAGGGTACGAATGGGGAATTTTTCCCAGCTAAAAGCTAAAGTATCAACTGTTTGACACGCGTCAATTTTTTGAACCTTGTTCTCACGTCACTTTAAAAAATAAAATTTTGAAAATTGCATTACCTGCCATATATGAATTTGGTAAATCTTACGGGAAATGGAACATAATTGATATCATATAAGTACCTGTATTTCACATGCATTCAGTGTTTGCTGATGCTGACGGGATGAAAAGTAAATTGGTCACTCACACCCGCATGTTTTATCAATCAACCAAGCATTTGAATAAACGAATGGGGTGAATGATGGTAGACTTGGCAATACCATTACCGTCAAATTTATCCTGCCGAAGAATGAATAGTATTTGGAACAGAGCAAATAAAAGCATAATGCAATTTCGAGTCCTTTGAAGGTTCGAAGTATAGGTAAGCATGCGATTCGATTCAAATGAACGAAACACTTCGAAATATTTTGAAGTTTCAAAAATTATCATGGCCTTGAGGCTTGCCCAGGCTCAGCTGGGCCCACACCCCAGGCCTGATAATAGATGTCTGGGCCGACCCATACGAATTAATATATTTATATATTAACAACTTAAAAATTTAATCCAACTTTATAATCAAAATTACAATATAAATGTATATATTATGTATAATATATTATAACATACATGGCATATATATATATATAAGAGGACCTGCCACGCAGCCCTCTTCATCATTTTTTACAACATTTGGTCCCCTGTACTTTAATTTCTTGACAAAGAACCCCTTTCAACCGAGGAGTAAATAGAATACACCCATGTGCACAAGCCCGGATCTCCTGTAAGCAAAAATTCTGCTCACATAGAATCCAGTCACATAGGAAATATCTTCCATACATATATGTTAAATTCATGGGAATAGTCCATAAACCCAAATCCATAATCCTCCCAGACCTTGGTGAAGGCAGGATTTGATCTTAACAACGAGACAGTTGGCACCTTGTTCATTAGGCATTTCTAACGCCTTAAAACATCCTTTTCTCACTTTAAATGAGAATTTTACTTTTTACCCATTCGATATTACTGGATCGGGGTGGTCATTTCTAACCTGGCCAGCCCCGACTCAAGCCCAGCCTATATGCTCGGCCCATCCCATGATTACTATTGGATGAGATATTTCTGGTCAATGGTCATGATTCTTAACTAAAGATCTGAACCCTTGAACTCAATACGTTACTATTAGTCAATTAATTTTGAAAACCCAAGTGATGCCAATGGTTTCAGTAATCTAGGCTAAGTGGTATAATAAATGAAGTGCCAAATTATCCTAAAGATCTGGGCCCTACTTAAGATCAATGCATTTAGCTCAACCATCTAAATGATGTACCTAGATTCAACAAATTCAAGCTATAAAAAGGTGTACCAAAATTAAAAAAAAAAAAAAAAACTATCAAAATGGTCTCCTAAGCGAAAAGAATTTGGTCATCCAAGCACCATATCAAGATTTCAACTAGTCTCAGCCATTCATGTAAAGCATCAAAGTTCATAAAAACAAGGTACCAAAGAGCACCTAATGTCTAGAACACCAAAATGGCATCCTCAAATTAGTCAACTAATTCCAACCATACAAATGATGTACCATATTAACCAAAAATTTGGGCCCATCACAATGATCTCCTATGATCAACGCATTAATCTCAATCATACAAATGATTTAACCCAAAAATTCATCCAAATGATGTGACTAGATTTAACAAATCTAGGCCAACCAAACCAAATCAACACAAAACAAGATGGCCATGAAAATGGTCCAATCAGTGCAAAGAATCAATCTCAACCATGCAATTATTTCACCAAAGAATCAACTAATTGCAATCATCCAGTAGTTACAAAATTAATTCTTTCACTCTGACATTGATATGAATGCAGATCAATCTCTACACTCTAACACACTGTTCCATTGCAATATATTAAAAGCTTGCGCATCTTATGTGTATTCACAACTGAGCATTTCTATAGGTTATATGAATTTCCATGCTTATCATAATTATTCCACCATATCCTAGTGTTTTATATCTTATCATTTCCCCTCCTTATTCTGATTCATCGCTTAAAATTGCCTTTCCAGAGCTTTTCCAGAGCTCTTTGCTACATTGATACTTTCAACCTTGATTACAAGCATTCAATGTTCTGTATCAATTGAAGCAGTTCCAATGTCTCTTATCCTTTTATTTGGACACTCAGACCAAAATGATTTGTCATGGAAGACGCAATTTACTACAATGGTCACATCAATTGCTATATATTTACTTTTCGCGTATACAACTTACAAACAGAGATAACTCTCCAAAATTGAGAAACATATTCTCATCATGTAAATAAAATCAAAAGAGAGTAGTTGACTGTTATGACTTGCCACTGGTACGAGAAGAGCAACTTCCATAAACTGTCTGAAATCTTATTACAACCAATTACAACAGGTGAAATGGGATGATGGAATGTGACCAGTTTGGCGAATATACTCTGCTTGTGCTGAAGTTCTTGATGCTTGCCGATTCCTTTTGGCTTCAGCAGCAGCTCTCTTTTGTTCTGATCGTTGCTTTGCAATAGCTATCTTCTTCATAATCTTCTCTTGAGCTTGGGCTCTCATTTTTTCTATCTGGGTCTGGAAGAATGAAGATGTTACAGATTAAGTTGCATCTTAGGGACCTCATGGACTCAAGGTCTATTTGAATGTAATACAATCTTCCTAAACAGAACATCAGATTTAGGCAACATAACATTCACTTAACTAATTAATTGCATGTTAAGCAGGGATATTATTTTAAAACTGGAGAAATAGTTGATAATAGCTCCAATCTTCATCAGCTCTAAATAAGTATAAGCTCTATTCTTTAAATGCAGAACTATTTTTCCATAAGTTTCTAACAATTGGGCATTAGACTCATTTTGTTTGCGGTGCAAATTTCATTTGCTGTTGAAAATTCATGGGAGTGAAAATAGGCTGAGTGTAAAATCTGGTTTACTTTTGTTTCAGATTTGATTTTTTTATTTGTTTATGAGAAGCAAAATACAAGGTAAAATAATGTGGTCCTCACCTTATATGGAAGAGGATGGGGTAGGAGTAGGGATATGTGATTGGGAATGACGTAGGAAACAAGCTGATGTGGTCCCCAGAGATTTGAGGTAAGAGAAGGTGGTGCAAATTTTGCATCAGTTTTGAGATGTAAAATTTGCATTGCCAATGAGTGCAAATGAGACAAAAAGAGCAAATTTTGTATGAGATAGGAGTGCAAATCATAATTACAAACAAATGAATGCAAAACTGAACCAGGTGCAAAATTTGTATCTGGTTCAGATTTGCAGTGCAAACAAATAGAGCCTTATTGAGCTGGTAGCTTTAGTAAATTAGACTATTTCAGAGGTTCTTAAGTTATTTGGATGGATGGAGTTTCAAACACTGCAATAGAATATTTCCAAGTCTAAGAGTTCAGACAAGGTGAATGTAATATACCTCTAGTCTCCTCATTTCTGCTTCTATTTTTGCCTTTTGCTGGCTTTCCCATGCTTGAATTTTGATTTCTTCACGCTTGTATCTGAAATTTTAAGTTACTTGTTTTCAAAAATATGACACTTTGTTTCATAGAAAATCTTCTAAAAAAATAAATGTTAAGTATCAAAATATTTTGCTACTTTTGCTTTACTTTCATAAAAGGAGAGAGCTTGAAGAGACACCTGGCTGTGTGTTTGGATTTTTCAGCTTCTTCCCATGCAGCTGCCCGGTTTTCATATTCAATCTTAATCAGATGCTCTGGATCAACAGGTTCAGTTGGAGGAGTCTTCTTTTCCATCCCATCCTTACTAGCCCATGCTGCAATGTTCATCTTGCCAAGTTGAACACCAAGAGCCACAATTTCTCTACGTGTCTTAAGTTTCATCTCTTCCTCAGATAGGTCCTTGTTATATCCTTTTTGGGATTCTGCTTCATCGTCTGCGGTGGCCCCCACAGGTGTAGATGCTGGTTCACCTCTTCTGGGAGTAGATGGGATTGAAGATATTGGGCTTCGGAGTGGGGTTGTGGCTCCTACAGGAGTTGCAGTCCTTGAAGGCTCTTGACTTGGGATTGGTGTCATTTCTGTTCCCATATCTCTCATTGATACTGCTCTGATGGTAGGAAATACTGCATGGTTTAAAGGTTAGATTCAGTATGAAACAGAGAAACTTCAAGAGAACTCAATAAAGACTAAATTTATATTGGAGAACCAAACCACCTTAAAAAGAGAAAATTGATAGAGCAGTTACCAGATATTACAATATTGACTTTTGTGAAGAAATGAGTGGAAATGAAAGAGGTATTAATATTTAACATAAATATGGAGATCATAAAGATAGTTAGAAAGGTACACATTGGAGAACCAGAGTTATTTTACTGTCCACTATAATTGCATATAATATCGGCATTAAAAGTCTAGAAATAACTCCTACAGGTTGAAGAACAATCATTTCAGAATTCAGATCAATCCATGCATCATATTTGTTATTTTTCTTTCAAAGTCATTTATCGTATCTTTTGCAACTGTTGCAGGAATATGTTACATTGGGTGGTTAATTAGGTAGCATTTCTTGTCCCTATTACTCAGCAAGTGATAAAACAAATACCGCACTGACATATAATATATGTAGGTTCATGGGATCTTCCACTGATTTACTTGTGTACTTCATTAACAATGCATGTCTGATTGGATAATTTGTGATATCGCCTGCTCAAAGAAATCATACAAATAACATCCATACATGATTTGATAACAATGTTTTTTGGCATTACCTACCTAAAGAAGATCATGAATGCAACATCAGATAAGTATCTGCCACCGAATTTTAGCCCATGAAACATAAAACATAATGCATAATGCAGTTAGTGTAAAACTGTGCTCTTTATGTACTTTTCGGAAAAATCAGGCTTCAAATAAGAAGTTGAAATATCTATTCTAAATATATAGTTTGGTCGTGAAAAAGAAAATAAAAGTTACCTGTTATATCTGTTGTGGGTCTCTCTGACCCAGATAATTCCTTATGATCAACATCCTTGTCTTGACTAAAAGGACACGGATCGACTGAAAAATTTGTCACATTTGCTGCACCTGAAATGGGATGAGCCCCAGAGCTAACAAAAGAGAACTTCTCCATCCCTATGCGTGGAGTTGCATAACAGGAATCAATCTGTTTTGTATCTGATACGGGAAGAACCGATACCTTGTGGTCAGAGCTTGTCAATTCCGGAACAACTCTCACTAAATTGGTAGCTGGTTGCCCAACTTTTTGATTTTGCAAAATGGTTTTCTTAGAATGATTTGGATGCGCAGGGTGCCTGCTCATTATCCATTTCTCTGCATCATTCCACTTAGATGGCACAGGACGAGAAAAGGGTCTCATCATTGGATTGTACAAGCACCTCTCTCCTTTATGAAACTCAAAGCTAGATGAACTAGCGTTGCTGTCATAATCTGGATTATCTTCTTCTACAGGTTTAACAGGGTGAACTGTTGAGTTACTGCTACCAGATCTTGAGAATTGCTGAATTTTGACCCGACCCATGTCCCCAGTTTCTTTAGGAATTAGTATGTCCTTTGGCTTGGAAAGAGTATCGCCTTGACCAGAATTTGATACCCCCTTGGAAGATAATTTCACTGAGGATGCTTCTACTCTGGGAGCTGCAATATGAGAGGAAGCACTTGGCAGATCTTTCAGGCCACCTGCAAAATAACCAAGTTCAGATACAGAATATGATTCTGTTTAAGGTTTCAGAACTCACCACTCAGACTCAAGGAAGATCCCAAGCTCTAATGAACTTGACTAAGTTTTTCCAGTACTCAATTAAGATTTCAAATTATACCGATACAGAGAAGTTCTAACTTCTCCACCCCAAATTTGACATTTAGATAAAAAATGCCCAGGTTAAAAGGTTTTATTTGAGAGAATTACTCAATGCTGACCTTCCTCCTCAAAATCTCCATTTTGGGGGGCTAATAGGCTATTCTCCACGAATTCTGCATCTTCTAGTCTACAAGGAGATGTTCTGGAAGAATTGCTATTTGTTCCATCCTTTTTTCTCTGATGGTGAGGTCCCATAAGCTTTAGCCTCAATTTACTCGGAGAAATTATGCCCATCTGCATTGACATTTAACATAAAAGGTCATGCTCAAGAAATTAACCCAATGCCAATGTCCATAATCATTAGATAAAACACTAAACACTCATTTCCTGGTCTTTGTTCAATCAACATCCAAATGGGTAGCAAATATGTAATCTAACTTAGAGAACTGATAATATCTTTCTAAACTCAGAATAAGCGACGGCTTCACCACACAAAGAAGAAGAGGCTACCAAATGCAGCATGCTCCTAAACATAATGTTGATACTAATTAGAGGATTCAGCTTTAAGTTCAGAGAAAAAAAAAAAAACCCCACAGGAAAACCATCACGAAGATCAATCTGTCTACTATCAACCATGAAGTATTTCTGTTCTCATTTCACTTCCACCAGCCCCAATCCACTACCCACATTATAAAAAATTAAAAGCAACACCTATCACAAAACAGAACTCCAGAAGTAGAGATAGCCTGAAACTTCATGGATTCAACCAACTTAATGCTGCAACTAAAAGAGAACCCAAGAGGTTGGGATATCGTTGTCCTCTATATGAGTAAGAAAACCATACCTGAACTTTATCAATCCGCTCATACTCCATGATTCCGTCCCTCTCTCTCTCTCTCTGGAGTTTCGACAAGAGAAAGAGAAATGCAACAAAGCTCTGAAATTGGAGAGGAAATCTCATTGCTCTCGTGCATTTTGTAGCTGACAGGAGTTACAGCTGATGTGGCTGAACTGAATGACTTATTGCATTGTCTTTTAATGATTGTATTAAGTTATTCAGTCCAGTCACCTGGGTCGGCGATCTTTTTGAAAATCCAGCTGGGTATTGGCTTTGGAGCCCCCCTTTGCGTATTCCTCGGCGACTTTCAAAGTGGTTTGTTTTGTTCTATGACCAGTAAAAAGTGCTTCAGTTTCCATTATTGTTTTCTTTCTTTGCTTCTATGACCAACTTTTTGAACAGTCGAGAGCCAGAGGTGAGTTACCCAGTTTAGCAACTGCGAAAGGCGAAGGCGAAAGCCTTGTGTTGTGTTGTGTCTCATTAATAATAATATTAATCAATCTCTTCTCCCTTTGGGCTTTGACGCGTCTCTTCATCCAATGTTTGAACTTTTTTGAGCAACCGTAAATCAATCTGTCAATTCTTTGGACACGTCTAATTAAAGGCTATAGAGGCTATTGGATAAGTCTTCCGATTAGAATAACTCTTCCACTCAAGGCAAAAGATTCCAATCCAGAAATAAACAGATGTAATGTGCTGCCAAAAGAAAACACCATATTCAGAAGCAATTGCCCATAAGGGAAGCAGTCTTTTTAGCAGCTGTGCAACTTTTTGAATTTGATTGGATATTTGAATGGAACAAAGCTCCATAAACATGATGAGTATTTCAATTCCCTGAAGAAACAAAGAAAAGAAAAGTTGCTTTTGCTTTTGCTTTTGCTTTGCATGGGACCCACTGCCTTGTGGGCCATTGTGGGCCTGCCTTACATTCATTCCCTCTTTGGTTATAGTCTTATAGATATGATATGGCCAATTAGAGGCACTTAAGTTTAGGGCTATTGATGGATGGAACTCAGATTTCTTTCAATATCAGGAAAACCCACATTCCTAAGTAGATTTTATCTTCCAGACAGGTGACAGGTCCACGGGTGATGCTTATGCTTTGGCAATGAATAAATGAGACAACCTATTCCTCTATACTATTAGCACAGAATGCCGTACCTGATGTGCAAATGTGAACTTCTCATAAGCTTGGAAGAGGATTAGGACCCTATCTTCTCTAAAAACCAGTTTGAATTTTGTATCTTTCTTTTATTTATTTATTTTTTGAATTTTGGGTTGAGATTGACCCCGTACTAAGTACGGGGCAATATTCTGATATTTTTGTCACTCATGTATTTTGATAAATTTTGTTTGATATCCATTTTTTAGTTTATTACTAGCCAGCGATGCGTAGGTTTCATTAAGCGAAAGTGAAACAATAAAAACACATAACAATAGACTTTTTTTTTACTTAAAATATATTAAATTAGTGAATAAATATTAATCAATAAACTATGACAAAAATGCATAATTACTGAAAATACAATAAAAATAATAAATAATTACCAACAGTACAATAAATAAAATATATATAGTTACTGAAAATAAATTTAAATATCATAAATACAATGAATTAAATTAAATTAGTGTAAATAACAAATTAAATTCCACAAAATAAGTTAAATTAAATTTCAAAAAATATCTTAATTAAAATTAATAATATTAAATTAATTTCCAACAAATACAATGTATTAAATTTCAACATGTTAAATTAAATTAATGAAAATCAATAATTAAATTCCACATAATACATCAAATTAGATTTTAAAAAATAAAACAACGTAAATACATATATACTAAAAATAAAATAATCTCTAATAAATATCAATCAATAAAATGGACATAAAAGTATGCAATGAATTTATAGAGAGGATTCTATATGGTAAGGGATAGGAATGAGATAGACTGAGAGAGGGTGCTGCCTTGGCATAATGGGAGGTGTGGAGACCTATATCTTAGTAGAGGAAAAAGGATAAAAAGGGGACTTACGAATTTGTAGAGAGGAATGGAGAGAGAGGTTGCTGACTTGGCATAATGGAAGGTTGGAAACCTATATATTGTGAGAGGAAAAAGGAAAAAAAAAAGGAGCATAACAAATTCAAATATATATATATAGAGAGAGAGAGAGAGAGAGAGAGAGAGGTTGCTAAGTTTGCATAATGGAAAATAGCATCTAACCAAGAAGAAACAAAAGGAAACATATATCTTAGGAGAATCCAACTAATTCATATGAGAATAAGGAGTTTCGAAACTTTAAAGGGTAGTCCAAGGTTATGTTTGGTACCATTGTTGTTTCCATGTGAAATGTTTGGATGGATCAATACAAATTGTTGTTTTAACCTTTCAATTATAAATGCCAATGATCAGCCCTATGGTCCTACCCATGTAATTTGTAGTTGAAGTGACTCATATATATGTGATGTGACAATACATACTTCTCACCAGTTTGAATTGATCAACATGACATGTAAGTTTAGTACTAATTAATGGAAGTATAAATTGTGATACATTTAGGATTGGAAACCAAGAGATAACTCAATGTGACCATTTCTAATACCTTTGTTCAATAATTCATAATAAGGGAGAGATTGTGGAGGATGTCATCCAAAGAATTAAAGTAGGATGAGCAAAATGGAGGGGTGCATCTGGACTTTCAAGTGATAGGCAAATATCACTTTGACTACTAGGAAAATTCTATAAAACTGTTATAAGGCCAACTATGCTGTATGGAATGGAGTGTTGGGCAGTTAAAAAACATGTCCAGAAAAATGGGTGTGAAAGGAAGGCAAATTCTAAGATGGATGAACAAAAAATAAATAAATAAAACAAACTAGAAAGGATAGGATCAGGAATGAAATCATCTATAGAAACTTAGGAGTATCCCCAATAGGTGATAAAATAAGGGAAAATAGACTAATATGGTTTGGTCACATGAATACAAGACCATCGGCAACATTAGTCAGAAGAAGTGATTTTGTACAAGTTAAAGGGGCTAGAAAGGCTAGGGTAGACCAAGAGGGACATGAGTAGTAGTAAGAAAATATTTAAGCACTAATAATTCAACAATAGATCTAGCTTTAGATAGAACGGATTGGCAAAATAGGATTCATGTAGTTGACCCCATATAGTTGGGATAAGGCATAAACAATGATAATGAACCCAAAATGTTTCAACAATGGTACCAAACACAACCCAATTGGCCTTCTCAAAAATGTAAGACAAATGTTTGGAGATGGAAAGCATACAAAAAAATTCTTGATAATGGGTTCACCATCACAATCATAAAGCCAACTTTAATTGTCAAAGAACCAAAGAAAACAAGACAAGTTTAGCAAAAATGAGGCACTGAAACCTAATGAGCTTCTATTGATAGGTGGTGTACAAATTGGTGTGACTTGGTTAATCCTTTTTGAGCTAAAAATGAATCAGGCCATAGTTAGGGTTTAAGTTAAGTTATGAATATAGCATAGAATAGACTGGTGGTTGACAACTGACCACCTATACTTAGAGGTGAGCAAATGCATAGATTCTACCCGGAACTTGAGCTAGCCTTGAACCAACGGCATTACTAGGTGGGGTTTGCTTCCATGTTCTTGGAATCAACCTCCACCCAAGCTAGTTCCAAGGTCTAGGGGTTTACCTACTTGAAACAACCCCACCCAATCTATTACTAGGTAGGGTTTGCTTCCAAATTCTTGGAACCAACCCCCACCCAAGCTAGTTCCAAGGTCCAAGGGTTTGCCCTACTTGAACCAACCTTAAGAACTGACCTTGGTTGGCTTTGATGAAACCAACTTTATTGACCTTGGTGGAAGTAGCCTTGGAACCAAACTTATCATGAAATAAATCACAAAATACTTTGAGGATGTGAAGATTTGTACCCAAACATTCGTAGTTACAAAGACCATGGTCTCACTTAACCATTGAGTCACTTAAGTGATTTTTCTTCAATTTAATATTTGGATGTGTAATTTAAAAGATACTATTTACAAAACATAAAATTATTAACAGTTAAAATTTGAACTATATACTAATATATTATGATAATTTATAAATTAAACTACAGAATTTAACCAATTTTGTTAGTAAAGTGAATATAAGTTTGAACTATATTATTATTATTATTATTTAATGAAAATCAAATTTTTAAAGAACAAATTCCACTTAGGGGGAAGGGTAAAGAAAGAACAAGCTCCATGGATAGGCCTTGGAGCTGACCCTGGAACCACCAAGACCAAAGCTAACCCTAGAACTTTACAACCTCTTCCTCCCACCGATTCTAGACGTACAAATACTTTTAAAGACCGACCATTGCGACTCCACCTTCTAATAATATGTTCATGAATCCATATTCGGTTTGTCTGGTTTATGATAGCAACAAAAATCCTTCACTCCTTGGAATTAATGAGGCATGCGTCTTTCAATACGAATCACAGCACGTCCATGTTCTACAAACCAGCATTCTATTAAGGCTCGATTTTTTTTTTTTTTTGTTAATTAATTTCAAGTTGGCGTTCAACTTGAATCATGTGGTCAGTGGACTGCTCGGTCCAATTCAAACCAGAGTTAATGGGAGGACTTAAAAGAGACAAAAGTTTCGTAGATGATATGAATGGTTCTAATGGCATTCTTTAGTTGTCACTATAATTTCAAATTAGATTAAATCAGTAATTTTTCTTGAAAGAAAAACCATTTCTCTCTTCTCATCCCCTGAAGATGCACCCTTTAAAAATAACTATTACCTATCTGTGATTTAAAAATAATCATAATTGGCATTTACTCCTAATTATGCCAGAGAGAGAGAGAGCCAAACACAGCCTTAATCTTTTAAACCTTTTATTGGAAGCACTTAGGCTGGATTCAACCAAATAGACCCTCGAGTTTGAGCATCCGGAAGAGCTGAAACTTTTTTCTATAATTGGTTTTGCAAAAAGCCAAGCTGCCCCCCACCCTTCAGATTCAAAGTTCAATCCTGTTTGGCTAAAAAGCATTTAATCTTTTATAAAGTGGGTGGATTCGAATTGCTGTACAAACCCTACTTTTTGGTTAACAGACACATTTTTCTTCAAAAACACCTTCCGCCGATTCGGCCATTTTCTATTCAAAGCAGAAATCCGTAT